AAATGATATGAAATACATACTGAGTTTTTGGGATTGTAGCAAACCGGGAAATTGTTTGAAAAAATTAAAAACTGAAAAATTAAGCGTCCACGCGACCTTTTTTGCTTTACGCCGACGAAACCGTGATAGGATAAAAATGCATAAGGCTTAATTTGTAGAGCATAAAATTTCCTACAAAAAAGTCAATGGCGGCATTTTCGCAATTTAAACCGTCAAGTCGCCAAGCGCGCTCAAAGTTGAACTACGAAAAAGCTGATTCGCCGCCAACGCCGAAAAGTCCATTTTAGTTGCAAAATGCAAATAATTCTTCATAGAATGTCTTCAGGAGAGGAAATTTTTTTAAAAACATTTTTCAATTTTTCAGCAGTCCCCATTTTTTCATTTTTTTTCATTTTTCAACCAAAATTTGCCATAACATAACTTTTGATCCAGTTATCTTATTGGAATAAGAACAAAAGGTGATTTTTTCTCGTTCTCTCCTCTCCATTTTCACTCTTTTGACCTTTTCACTCAACTTTCATATTTAACTTATTATTTGTTGATAAACTAAAAAAATTGCTGTTTTTTCAATATATAATCTGACTGGAAAATTTTTGATCAAGCTCGTTAGCTTTACCCCAAACTTGAGTCATTGAGATCAATCTTGAATTTTTTCATATTTTTCTTGGCATTTGTTGACGTAGATTTTTAATAAAATAAACCCTATAAAATATACCCTATATCGACGGTAAAATTTACCGTGGACCGTGTGAATGGACACTATGAATGTTTTTTTGGGCTCAAATGAAAGAGCGGCTCGAAAAATGGTGTGCTGATGCCTCTAAAGATGGTTTTGAAGAAATAGACCTAGACTCCTAGACCCCACTGGACAATGTTGTCACAATTGCGCTTTTCAGTTGAAAACAGACATCATCTTTAGAGACATTTGTCATCTTTAAAACCATCTTCCACGGTAAAAAGTGGAAACACTGCACGCCATTCACTCACCTTATATGCACGGTAAAAAAAAATTACTTTATATCCACGGTGAAAATCTTTCCTATATGCACGGTAAAAATGGGCCCGATGCACACCACTGCTTTATCTTATATCCACGGTAAGAATTACCTTTTATCCACGGTAAAAAAATGGGCCTAACGTACCCCACTGCTTACCATATATCCACGGTAAAATATACCATATATCCACGGTAAAATTTACCGTGGACCGTGTGAATAGACATGCCTAGATTCTCTCCCATCCAGCCCCCTGACACTAAATCCAATGCCCCTATACAATACGCGTGTCCGCATTATCGAGGCTGTTTCTGACGGTCACAACGCGGCGCTGGATTACACCTGACTGACCCCCTCCATTCTCCCAACTGCCGCCATTTCTCTGCTCTGTTTTAAAGGAAACGCCGGAATAACTCGTATTGTATGGTTTGAAAGTGAGATTAAACTGACATAATTATGTCCACTTGTGCAGTCGCTAATTGCACATCAGGTTATTAATCTAATCCCAACAAATTCCATTTCTTCACGGTTCCGAAAGCGCGAAAACCGTCAAACAGTGGGGGATAATTGTGAAAAGTGGGGAGCCGTCAGATGACTCTCCGCGCCATCTGTAATGGCTTCAATATGAGGGACACTGAAAACAGTGTGTAACAGGGGGCTGCTCCAATCTAAGTGATTATAAATCAGCAAGAAACAAAATTATAAAAAATATTCTATTTCCATTAAAATGAAAACAGAATCTTTGATCCTGTTATGGATATTTCTTCAAACTTGATATGAGAATTCGTCCAACAATCTTGACATTGTTAATTTCCTGAAGAACCATTAAGAGGGCACGAGGGTAAGAAAAACTATCGAAATGCGGGCAAATCCGAGCTCTATAAATTCTCGTCGTTTGGTGAATTCCGAGGCTCAAAAGTGGTCACCACCAAATCCTCAGCACCACGAAAGTGTTATGGAACAAGTTGTGGGTGGTGTGAGAAGGGTAAATATTTTTAATAAATGATTAAAAATACGAAGTGGTTGGCAGGTCTGGTTGTCGCCATGATGCTTGGATCCCCCTCCCTGGACCGCAAGGTACTTCCAAGATGGCGGCGCTCACAGCTGTCAGCCACCTCGTACTTTATAAACATTAAATATTTATCCTTCTCAGACCACCCTCAACTTGTTTAGAGATGCAAAATGACCGTCATTTTTTAGATGGCGTCATATGACCAAAAAATGACGGTCTTGTGGTCATGTGACGCACAAATTTTCCAACTACAAATGATTGTCAAATCATTTGTAACCAAACTGTTGTCAAACCATCTATATAGTTGCATAATGACGGTCATAACTAATTTCCAATTTGTGACGGTCATGAATAAAACAAAATAGTTTCATCTATATGGATGGAAAAAAAAATGTGATTTCCATTTCAAAATGCGGATTAGGCCAATACAAAAGGAATTCAACTGAAAATTGACCGAGAAAAAAATAAAGTTTCATCTATATAGATGAAAAATGACTGTCATTTTTTCTTGACAAGTTGTGACGGTCACAAATGGGGAGGGGGAATTGTTGACAGCCGTCATGAACGCCTCGTCACATGACAGTCATATGACGGGTCATGTGACGCATTTGCATCTGTTTGCATCTCTAAACTTGTTCCATAACATTTTCGAAGTACTAAGGATTTGGTGCTGATAACTTTTGAGCCTCGGAATTCAACAAATGAAGAGAATTTGTGGAGCTCAGATTTGTCCGCATTTCGGTAGTTTTTTTTACGCTCTTAAGGTACTTCCGCAGTAAGCTCAAAGACATAGGAGTGGGGATAAATATTGTGCACTCTAACCTCGTTTTTACGTCCTATCCTCCAATGTATAACCCCCAAAAACATCATGATTTTGACGCACATTTTAAATAACAACTCATGATTCATGTGGTCATTAATAATGAAATTGCAGGAATGTATTTTGGAAACATGTTCGATGCGATAAATCAAGTATTTGGATTCTTAGCATATTGTCCATGGTCATCATTCCCCATTAAAATGTGTCTCGTAAGGCTCTGTACAAATGACAATTTTAATTTTTTTCTCTACAAAAATCAATGTGGTAAATCGTGTTGGGACTTTCGGGACAACTTTTGAATTTATTGAAAGAATATATTCTCAAAATTTCAACCCTGTAGTACATTTCCTTCTACTCCCATATGACTACTGCGGAAGTACCTTAACCAAAAACTATAATTCTCACCAAATCATTGCAAAAAATCATGTGTCCACGCACAAATACATTCTTCTAGTTTTTAATTACAGATTCACTTTTGAAACCAACGAATATTAATATTCCCATTTCGAAAATATGTCCCATCTGTACTACAATATTTTTGCGTTATTCCCCTCATATGTTCATCAACAAAATAGGGAAATGATATAAAAATTACAATTGAGAAATGCAAAAAAATGATTCTTCTAGTGTAAATCTACATTAATTAAACCTACGATATAACTCTTATTCCTAAATTATTTTCATTTTTATTTTTTTAGTGATCTTTTGATAAAAAGATAATTTGGAAGACATTGGATTATTTTCTTTAGTGTTTCATTTGAGATTAATTCACCCCTTCTTTTGTGCTACTGCACAATAGATGGCTAGTTCGATTAATCATTGAGTATACCAATTATTGGAATTTTGTACAGGTGAATTAGAATCAAAATTCATGTAGTTTTTTCACCAAATTCCTACCATCGAGTTCTCTTCGCGACATTTAATATAAATAATCGTAAACTGTATTCTCGTAATACACTTATAAAATCCAAAACCTAGCCAACAGTGTATAGTTATATATTCTTGTACATATTATTATTTTCATTTTCACACTTGTTTTATCATTTGTGTTATTTGGAAGACATTGATTCTTGCAGTTTCATTCACAAAATGATGTATTGTCCAGATACTTGTATATCGAGAATAAATTATCTAACTTTGTTTGTCAAAAATTCTCGCAAATAAATTATTTTGTCGACAATTCTATCATTTTTCTGGTAAAGGATAAAGATCATTATCGTTTACGAATAAATTATTTAAAGTTATCCCGTAGGAAATTGGAAGACTTATAATAGCTTTTTTAATGGAAGCTATTTGTATCAATTATTTGAATTGATATGAAACTTTCACAAAAAATCAAACAATCCAATCACATTTGTTGGATTTTCATCTAGTAGAATCTGGAAAATTCTACGCAATTTGATTTTCTCACACACCTGCATGGATAGTTCGTACTTTCCTCCCGCTCATGAGAAAGCAAAATACAAACTTTTCGTGTCACAGGACCTGAAAATTAATATACACACCTCGCCATGGAAAACATATCACCCTCCCCCACGTGCTTGCCATCCTCGTCTTCGGCTCGGAAGGCAATCTTGCACGTGGGGGACGGTGATCTGTTTTCCAAGGCTTGGGCATGTAATGTACTATTCCTTTGCAGGCGTGTTAAAAAATAGCACCTGCACCTTAGACTGGAAAAACATGACTTTCCGCCCTTGGTACACAACATACTATTTTTATTTGCTATCAACTTGACTTTGGAAGACATTTGAAATTCTTGATAAAATGGAGACAGAAGAAATTCTTGATTCAAAAATGTTAATTTTTCATCGTATCTACTCAAATATGTCCTTAGAAAAGAACATATTCGACAACTGCTCAAATATATTAATCTCGAACTCATATATATTGATGCATTATTTTCGATTCAATGTATTTTTTCTTCTTGCACCCTCCATATAAACTATTCCATTCAGAATGCGAACCATCGGCAAGAATTGAAAATCCAATCAAGTCTTAACTAATATCAAATGTATTTAGATAATCTCAGCGAGGAGTGGAGGTAATCTCATCGTAGGACCCTTTATATAGAAATTTTTCAACAAAATTGACCGAATTCATTGTCGTTTTGAATCAACAATCCCCCCCCCCCCCCCCCTCCCTAAAAAAAACATCCAACCATGAAAGACTGCATTTTCTCGAAGCTTTTAAAAAGGCAATCCAATTTCGAAAGCCTTGACGAGTGCCTTCCCAGAGTCATAAACCCCAATAACACCAAACAAGACTCCCAGAAAAATTACAAAACAATCATAGGCAACCTCGCTGGTATCCATCGAATTCCTCTTGAGCTTCAAATGAAAGTAACATGGCCAAATGAATGACAGCATAGTCCCAGTGAAAGATCCAATGAAACCCATCAGTATACTAAAATGCGGAATAAATATGGCCATCAAAATAGTGAACATAACGACCCCAAGTCTCCAAGCCAGTCCCCAGACTTTCAGCTCCTTATCAACAGTCCAGATAGTTGGAAAAATGGTCTTGGGTCTTCCCCTGAAGTACTGCCTTTCGAGAAGTTCACACGCTGCATAATATGGTAAAGGATATGACAGAATGGCCTTAATGACTAAAAAGAAATTGACGAGTCCCTTGAAACCAGTGGAGTGTAGATTATTCGTGATGACCTGTTGGGTGTCATTTTGAAAGGTCAGGAAGCAAAGCCAACCGAAGAGGGACTTGAAGGCTGCAGCTGCGATGTGGCTCCAGTTGATCATCCAATCGAATTTGGATCTGTCGATTAGGTTACCCTCGAGAGTTGGTAAAAATATGTGGGAAGTGTAGCTGAAGACAATAACTCCTAACGAAATTGGAAAGGTCTCCATGTCAATAGTCCACTTGACTTTGGACCAGCCCCAATCCCCAATTTCCAAGAGACAGTAACCAAGGATTACAGCGTTGATCAATAAATGAGCCATTGTGCACCAGAAGCTAAGGATGGAAACTGACTGGAGGGTCTTCAAAAAACCGAGGGGGATGAGGAATATGCCCACCAGCATCATCCAACTTCGAGCGTCTATCGCACCTTCTGGGTAGCTACCGATCAGTAGATCCCCACAGACCACGACGTAGAGGATGCAAGTCATCAAGAGCTCGATTATCTGCGCCAGGTTGACAGCTCTAGCTCCCCACCTCGGCCCGAAGCATTCTTTGGCGATCGCTACGTAGGAATCCCGGACGCGAACGCGTTGACCAGTTACCGTGTCCAATTCATAAAGGCACTCCACCAGGATCTTACCTGTGTAACAGCAGATGTGAGCGACTCCTATCATTGCTGCAATCGCCCAGTAGCCACCTCGTAGGACTGCGAAGGGAAGTGAGACAATGAACATCCCCTGGGGGTGAAAAAAACTTGTTTAAGTTGGATTCGTCTCGTTGCGTCAATTATGAAGCAATTTTTATAGTCATTGGAATGAGGAAAGAAAATGGCGAGAAAACTTTTTTGTGGAAAATTTTAATCAATTTTGTCATTTGATGTTGACTCAATTTTGGCTTTGCAGATTTTAACTCAATCAGTGAAATCAATTCTTTTTTAATCACTAATGCAGTAATGCGATAATGATTGTTAGAATACTGAACTTTCCGAGGATTCACAGCAATGCTGAGTGCAATTATTTTGTGAATTAGTGTTTGCGTGAACGCCTGATAGTAACAAAAGTGCAAATTAGAGAAAGGTCACATACAAAGTATCCAAATAAAGTCTGAGCGCATTCGCTAGAAAATCCTATAAATTTTCTGCCGATTCTATCGATAAATCTGGAAATTTTCCACGTGTTCTTTAAGAGGTCTCCTCGGTACTCTATTGTTATGAGCAATTATATATTTTAGTAGCTCTGTAGCGTTTTTTTTTCGCGAAATAGTAAACTCGTACCAACCAAGTTCGAGTATACTCTTACTCTAGTAAGAGAAATAATCACAATTCTTACGTGACCGATTCATCAAACCGGTTCGTTTAACGAGTGAAGTCGAATCATACCCACTGCATTGTTGATTAATCATTTATAGGCCTCGTATAGAGACAATGAAAACGAAAGGATAACATTTAGCATCCCTCCGTCACATGAACTTATACCTTACAAACATCTAAACGCTCTGAATAATAAAATGCGGAATAAATATGGCCATCAAAATAGTGAACATAACGACTCCAAGTCTCCAAGCCAATAACCCCGGCATACAATCGATAATTTAACCCTAAAATAACCCTGGCATACAATCGATAATTTTCGAGCACTTGTAGATATTACTAGTAAAAATCTTTCGATGATAATAATGAGTGATATTCCTTAGAAATTTGTTCTAGGCCTCTCTTTCCTATACGTATATCATTCGTGTTGGTTAGAAAAAAAATCGTCTTTCCCTAATAGTAGAGAAAAATATAATAATCCATTCGGCTACATTTCAAAGAAGCAATCGAAACTATATCGAGAAAGTAAATACAGAAAATACTCGGTGTCCCCGATGAACCTCGAGAAAACATTGGATTAAAATTTAATTATTAAAATTTAATTTAACAAAATAAAATTTAAACATAAAATAAGCGCGGGGGTTGGAATATCTTTCTTATTCACCCCAGGACCAAAATGTTTTTTGCTGTTATAACATTTAGCACATCACTAAGCCCCTATCTCCAAATTTTTTCATTTTTTTTATCTCCTAGGAGGGTGAAATGTTTGATTAAATTATAACTCCATAAGAACCTGTGTATAAGGCTCATTATGTTTATTTAATTACTCGATGTCTATAAATTCTAAAATGTTGAACTTGTCACCATGTATCCTTATATATGCGCATAACAAGTAGAATATACATGAGTTTCAATTATAGGTATAAAAATATTACAAGCCCAATCCTTATATATAAAGGAAAGCATAATGGCTGCCGAATGAAAACTCGAATTGAAGAATGTCGAATCGATTCACCGAAAGTCGAAGTCGAACGGACGTGTTCGATCATGAACTTATGAAACAGAAATAGAGTGTCGTATCGAATAAATTGCCACATGTTGTTATCTTCAGAGTCATTGCGGCGGGTGAAAGATGCATTCTCATGAGAACTTTCATGAGAATGAGCAATTCGGCCCCGACAGTGCTATTTACGAAAGTACGCTAGAATTACAAATCGGATTTCTAACCTCGAATAAGAAACGAACACCGTGTATACATTAAATACATCAGTGCATATTTTCTATAATACACGCATTTGTTTATAATTAGTGGAATGGGAAATGATTTTTTGGTGATAAAAGTTACGAGCTGACAAGATTAAATTATAGATGATTAATGAACTTGAATGTCGAGAATGAATTGAAAAAAAAAA